ACCCCTGCAATCCCGTCTAGGTCAAGGGTGCCGACACCCCTGACCGCCTCCCTCTCAGCCGGAGGGACGGCTTTGATCATAGACTTAGCCACCTCGACCAAGTCTGGCTCCTGAGGGCCGGCTGCATCAAGCATAAACAAACGGGTTAGACCTAGTAAAGAAGGGAGCAAGTCTAAAATTCACAAGGACAAATTCATACTTCTAGGTGGCCCGACTGGAGTTTTAGAAGGAATGGACGGCTGTTTCTCAAGCGCCGCATGTTTCCTGGCAGAACCAGGAGAGCTCGCAACAGTCATCCTCCGGGTCTTGGAGTCCGGCTATTGGGAAGAAGAGGCTCTTAGAGTGCCCGTCTAAAAAAAAAAAAAAAAACAACAACACTCGGTCAGTATATGCATAAACCCAACTCCAAAGAGAGAGTGAAAGGTTCGAAGCTCACCAAGGGCGCCCCCTTGTTGGGGGAGTCGGTTGATGACTGTTGCATGATGGAGGCCCGCAACATGGCCGCCGCAGTTTTGGAGGCGGTAATATTGCTCATGGCGTCCGCTGCAAAAACAAATAGCAAAGTTAATAAAAAGCCATAACAGTAATGCATGGAAAAACAGAGTATTCTACAGGCCTGCTACCTCTTGAGCACCGACTGCTGAGGCCACAGGCGGCCAAAAAGTACTCGTCGTAGAGCCATTTGAAGCTCGGGACGCAGTGCAAGGGTACTTGCTCTCGTACCCCTGAAGTAGAGTCGACCCTCGACTCTACTTTAAAGAGTCCTTTGTCCAAGATCTCTTTCTTAGCTTTGGGGGAACAGGCGGCATGCTGCGGCCGCCTGCAAGAAGAGGCGGATTCCTGTTCCACCTGTTGAAGCGCTTGTTCAGCTCTGTGTCTGAACTCTCAATGATAAGGAAGGTGCTTCGCCAGTCCTTCCACTTGTTTGCTTTACCTCTTGTCATGAGGTAGCCTCTGTGGCTTCTCAATTGATACCAGCCGGTACCGCCTGCCTTAGGGGTCCGGCTGAGGTAGTTCATGTGGGCGAAAGCCTCGAAGTTTGGCTCAACCCCGTGCAGTTCGCACCCGGCCACATAGACGAGTACGTTGACCCAGGAGTTCGGGGCTAACTGCCATAACCCCAACTCATACCCATCCAAGATCCGCTGAACAGCCGGATGTAGTGGGAAGCGCAGCCCAGCCTTGATGGCCGCCTCGTAGCAGCCAAAGCAGGCGCCATCATAACTAGTACCAGCCGGCCAGACGACTATGTCTTCTGGATCCGGCACGAACACTAAAAAGCCGGGGCCCATTTTGTGGTTCGCAATAAAGCTCCCCACTTTCTCTTGCATGGCCGTGATCCGGCCCCGTGGGACAGTGCAGTAGTAGGGGGTATTTTGCTCTCGATAAGAGGCGGATGGCTCCGCCCAATTGTCCCCCTTCTCAACTGCGTGAGAAAGCCTCGCCTCTTGTAGGCGACTGTTTTTCTCTTCTGTGTCCAGAGAAGCATGGCCAGAAGAGCTAGACTCGAATTTGTCCTCTGACGAGTCCGAAGAGGACGACTCCTCCCCTCTCCCAGAGGGGCCCGCCTCCTCTCCTTTAAAAGGAGCAGGAGAGAATGTAGACTTGTCAACTGTAAAATTGGAAGGGGTCACTTTGACTCCTCCCTCAGAACTGTCGGCTTTCAAGCCGCTTTGGTTCACTTCCACATCTGGCGCCTGATCAGATGTTTCACTAATCGGCACCCTGTGGGAGGAGCCGTCTGAGTTCAAAATCCTAGCAGTTCTTTTTGTTCTGGCCATCATGTTCTGCATAGACACAGAGACAGTCGGACTTTGTATAAAGGGCAAGGATGGGTCCGGAAAAGGGCAGGCGGCACTCCTAGTCCTAGATTCAGCCGTCCCCGGTGACCGGCTGATCACTAACCTAGGTCGTGTCGTGTGCTTCCGTGGTGCCATTTCAAAAAAGAATAAAATAAAGAGAAAATTAAGAGTAAGAGAACCGACGGTTACCTGAACGAGTGAAGTTGATGGAGTTCTGAAAATCCCGTGCAGTCGGCTTGTCAGATCAGGCGGTAGGCAGAAAGGGTCCAAAATGTCAGAGCAAGTTCAGGGGTCCGTATGTTCTCTCAAAAAGTTCTCAAGTGTGAAAATGACTGAAGTCAACACTCCCTTATATAGGCGAAGTGAGAAGGCGAAGGGTCACTTCCAAAATTCAAAATTTGGGCGGAAGAATCTCTCGGCCTTTCGCCGACTGACACCTGTAGCAGGCCGTCGCCTGTCACAGTGCGACATTTGTCACAGGTAACACGTGACCAGTCACGTGCCACCTGTGAGGGGCAAATGATTAGGGGATTTTGCTCCCACCAATCGGAATGCGCCACGTGGCCAATCAGATCCGGCCAAGTGTCCCCCAGTTGGAACCGTCAGGGTTTGCCACGTGGCTCACGCCTATTCGTCCACCCTGGACCTATTATGTCATGACACGTGGCATCCTCCATGCCTAATGGAGAAACCGGCCACCTAGGCCCAACTTCCAAGGGAAGCCCAATCAGCCCAAGGTTAACCTAAACCTAGGATTGGCACGTTTCCCAAGGTTATAAATACCTCCCTTAATCCTCATTAAGGGAGATTACGCACATTAAACACTCTTACCTAGAGAGACCAAATCACTTTTATTTCCGCATTAATTACTCCTTAATCAAGTACTAACTTGACCGTCGGAGGCGGATCTCCAATCATCCGGAGCATCCGTTTGTTTTGCAGGTACATGCGTCCGGTTCCAGTCTCGGAATTGTAACTCTCCCGCAGGACATCAGAAAACCCCGAAACAGTTATTGATCAAGGTTTATCAACTTTCAAAACCTTAGGTTAAATTTGGTTTTTTGATCAATGTGTTTATCAACAACCAAAGAATTTTTAAAGGTGAACAAGTAGACATATCAAAGTTTCTAATTTTTCTGCCAAAAAAAAAAAAAAATAAAATAAAAAAATAAAGAATTCTAGTTTCATATTGGCCTGGCACAAAGATTAGGACAAGTTATTAAATGTAGACTAGAGTAAGGGAATTGGGGTGTAGCCCTTTTTTAGGCAAGGGGAAATAAGGATTAGTGATTGTACACTAATAATTAAAAAGTTTGTTATAGACATGCAGCTAGGGATGTAAAGGTGACTAGCTAGTAGCTAGTCCAAAAGTTACTTCATATCCCCCAACATCACCATAATGAACCATAATGAAGATCACGTACCTTATCTAGCTAGTTTAATCGATAAAAGTTTTTAGAGGATGATATCCAAGTCAATCAAATGTTGTTTACATCGTTTTTTATTACTAGATAAAAAAAATTATATTAATTGTAAAAGTTGACAAAATATACGGAAGAAATCTCGTGTCATGACTCCACTTGATCTTGCCTTTTTTGTTAGGATATCTAGAAGCTTGTTGGAAGATATTGGTTCAAACACAAGTGAAATGTGAAAGTGACTTGAAGTTGACAATTTGGGAAGATTATTAATGAATACAACAAACGTACACACTCTTAAATTAAAATTTGGACGAAATTCTTTACTTTTGGTGAAGAGTTGAAAAATAAAGAGGAGAAGAGCTTTAAGAGTTTAAGGCCATAGACTCAATGCAAATTAATTATTGTCATTATTTTTTGACAAGCCAAGACAATGAACACAATTAAATACCCTGCAACGTAAATTAAATACAGTAAAAATCTAGACGTAGGAGAAACAAAAAATGGAGTAAAAAGTGGCAAAATGCAGTAAAATACATAGTAATTAATTTGACATATTTGTTATTAATCGGGTGAACAAAATCTGAGGGGGGGGTTTTTTTTTTCAGCAGTTAAGCAAAGTTTTTCTAGCAAGTTACTATCACTGAGTAATAGTGTGTATTAACTCCAGTTTCATCATTGACCATTAACATATGTATATTGCATTACAGATTTTAATAAAATGATACTTAGAAAATACATATCAAGACGAATATACTACTAACATGATTTCACATAATAAACGTGTTGATATAAGTAATATTGGGAATTCACGACTTTGGACACATTGACATATATTTAAATTTAGCATAAACAAGATAAATGCCCTAACAAACATTATATGAAGTATAATCGATCTAATATGGTGCTAAAAAAAGATAGATGTACATGTACGTGCCTTATTTAGTTCGTTTCCATATCAATATACTTATAGATACAGATAGCAGTTTCATTGAGTAGGTTATTAGTTAATAGCTCAATCGTGTATTGAATATTTTGTGTGGTACGTACCTTGACTTTTCTGAAAGATAGCATCAATGAGTATGAGTATAAAGTTTATTGACTTAAGGTTAGAGGACGATGACGAAAGCACGAAGATAGATAGATAGATATCTAATATCTGATACAAATAGCCATGATTAAATTGCATCCCTATATCTTATATGATGCAGCAATATTATGTTCTGAAAGACTGAAATTATATACGATTATATTATTGATGATATCTGCCAAAAAGCTGCTCAAGTTCTGAAACGTAACGTTATTGTATTTACATTTCAATATTTCATTGCTTGATCACTTATGTAGCCAATATGAACTACCACAAAAAAGTACTACGTATTTCGTATTATGGCAGTTGTATGAATTTAGGGATCTGCCGAGCTTTTGCCGACTAGTACCAAAATACTATGCCTTCATCTTTGCATTTACGTTGGTTTCCGACAAACAGGCGCAAAACAGTAATACTAATAGTGCACAAGTTGATAGCTTAAGATAAGTTTAGACAGAATAAGTTTTTGTAAGATAATTTTATACACATGATACTTCGAATGCATTTGTTTTCCTGAGGATGGTTACCTGCGAGCTGTAAATATGCTGCAAAAATTTCCAAGGTAAGGGTGAAGACGTGATATTTCTCAAAAAAATTTCTTTCATGGTCAATGCATGGTTTTAAGACAACAAGCTTATTGTATTGATAATTTAAATTCATATGTAATGGTGCAATATTACATGACAAGCTTATTGTATTGATAATTTAAATTCATATGTAATGGTGCAATATTACATGGAATAGAACATAATTTAATAGACTGATAATACATACGTACTACATGTTCGTTGCTGAAATAACTTCAACTGCTTACATAAACATGCATAATCTACTTTATTTGAATCGTCCTAAGAGGATATTCTAACTTAGTGATATTACATATTACAAATAAAACCTGAAAACTTGTAATTAAACGAACTATTTAAGACTACGACATTGAAGCTTCTTCTTAACCCATGAAGGAGACAACACAGGGCTAGGCTCACACCCTGCAGAATTTGTATCTTCCGTATCATCATCTCCATTGCTATGGCGGCCAGGGGATTTCTTCACTTCTCGCAAGAGCTTTACTCTCCACACCTTAAATGTCTGATCCAAGCTAGCACTATAAACCAAGAAACTCGTTACAAGCTCGTCCTGCAAAGAAGCAGCCAAGCATCTCACAGGCCCTCTATGCCCTTCTAAAACAGCAAGACACTCATGAGTAAATCTTACTTTCTCTCGCCTCCAAATCCTGATCGTCGAGTCCTCAGACCCACTAATCACCAAATTATCTAGGGTCACTAGGCAAAGAACCGCAAACTGATGCCCTTCTAAGACTCCACCGTGATTGTAGTGAGTAGAAATCTCTTGCACCCAGAAATTTATACATCCATCAGAAGATCCGGAATACAAGAAACTCCTTTGTGATGGTGACACACCTAAAGCCAAGGCATAAATAGGGTAGGTATGAAAACTAAAGACCTTAATAAGGACATGGCTGTGTTCACCATAAACCCTTAACCACATCTTTACTGTTCCATCTGAAGAACAAGTAAAAAGGTAGCCACTTTGTTGGTTGACCACCATGTCATTGATGTGGTCACCATGAGCTACAAACGAGTCGATACACTTCTTTACACTTAACTTCCAAGCTTTGATAGTTTTATCAAATGAGCCAGTGTATAAAATACTTTCAACATAGTAAAAAGCCATGCAAGAGATAATATCCCTATGTTGTGGTGTAATTGGCTTATTAGCAGTTAACCTATGGTGTGGGACAACAGACCTACAAATGAAACTCTTGAAATGGCTAGCACAAGGTAAGGTAAGGACTTTTCTAGCCCTAAAGCTACCACTGCAAGTTCTCATGTTCCATATCCTAATTTTATGATCCTTATGTGCAGTGAAGAGCATGTCATCATAGACTTGCATGGCCCGGACTTCGCCGGAGCTAGATTGTATGTAACCCTTTGCATGGCAGTCAAGTGACTGCCATGCATAGACTCGACGACTACTTGAACCAGTTAAGACTAGGTCACCGAATACAGTGAGAGAATAAATATCACCATCACGACGGAGAGAGGAGATACAGCAGTAGAGAAGAGAAGGATGAGAGGGGGTTAACGAAGGAGAGGGAGACCAGGATGATTCAGGGCTTTGAGACATCATCGGTGAGGTATCAGGGTAGAAATGGGTGCCATGAAGGCGAGCAAGAAAATTTTGGTTATGCTTAGAGAGGTGTTGAAAGCTGGGTGATTGATCTTCTGTAAAATCTTCATCAAAGAAGCAAGAAAGGCTTTTCTTGTGACTGAGCTGGCGATCCATCGCAAGAGAAAAAACAGGAGTGGAGATGTGAACTAGGGAAATCTTTGTGTGTGCGTGCATGCGGCGTTGGAACTAGGTTTTTGGGAGCTAGGGGGTATATATGCATGCAAAACCATGCATTTATTCAATGACAGAGAGTTGGTTCAATCATTATTTCACGAAACTTAGCTATGTTGTTTCTATTTCCTTTGTAATTTATTTCATTTTAGGATGGGTTGGGGAGGGGGGGAATTTGTTCAAAATTGGCAGTCTGGGTACACCTCGTACATGTATTATACGTAGAAAGAGAGAGAAAACCCTATATGTGGTCCTAATGAGGACATGGAGATGGCAAAGGAAACGGAGGGATGGGGTTTTCCTCGCTTTTGCACAGTAGGCCTCACTAGGGACCTACATGACGAGCCACTGCCTATCAAAATAGCATAATTGTGTCTGCATAATGGCTAAGACTAAACGATATGGATAGTTCATTAGTTCAACATGCTCATCAACCATTAACCTTAAGATGTGGATCATTAGGCACCTTAGCATGGCATGTAAACTCCTCTCAGATTTTAAGCAAAACTTCTCATTCACGTGATATCCAATGTAGATCCAGAGAGTCATCCAGAATCAATAGTAAGATGCAATCATACAGGCAAACCTCAGGGGCTACTATAGATCCTCTACCCTCAGAATTTGAACATACATATCTCTAGATCACAGTCTCACAGAGTTAGGGCAAAACCATATTAAAAATGTATTCCGAGTCTATTACCCAAAATTTGTTATGGAATTTTCATGAACCGAAATCGCACGAAAAAGAACCAGTTGAGCTAGTTTTTCAGTACATTAACCTCGATAACCAAAAATCACTAATAAAATATTCATAACTTATCATTGACAAGCTTCTAGTTGTTGCTGTGCCCAGCAGACCATCAGTCATTCAAGCTTAGGGAGAGCATTTATAATAGCAAAAAACGAACCATACCACTGCTGATAGAAGCATTTAGCACTCCTATAACAGTATATAAGACCATATACCAAGAAATTATTGCATCGATTGGCAAATTATAGGATTTGCATCGAAGAAATAGAGAAGAATGACGGGTGAAAAACATAAAAAGTCACTGCTAACAAACAGCATAGCTGTCTATCAACTTACACTGAATACTGATAATAAGGTTCAAAACAGGCTACGGACAACATTCTCGATAGATGATAAGGGATTGGTGATAAATATTATTACTCGTACATCAGTAGGATAATTGCACGTGACAGATGCAGGTTAATCCCAGAGAGAGATTTGCACCAAAAACATTTTAATGAAAATTCTGTTTTCATCAATCTTGATCCTATAATCGAACCTTTTAAAAAACCTAATTTACCAAACTAGATTGTATCAGTGCTAAGGCATGATTTGGTTACAGCTCCTATAGTAGCATTATACTAGGTTGGTTAACTAACCCTTTCTTTCCGGTACAATAACCATATACTCCCTTCGTGTTTTAATAAGTGTTACAGTTTGACCGGCACATAGTTTTAGGCAATTTAATTGACTTAAATAAAATAAGGTAAGTGGGGTAGTTGAAGTATTTAAAAATTGTAAAAGAAAGGTAGCTTTTTGCCAAAAAAAGAAGTGTAACACTTATTAAAACAAAGAGGAAGCACGAAGTACTTGCCACAATTTCAATTTTTTGGTATCGAAGGAAACAAATCATACTCTCTCCGTCTTCGAATAAATGACATGTTAGACCCGGTTTACTTCACCTTGAAAAAATAATATTCGGTAAAATAATTTCACTTCAGTAAAATAATTTTAGTCCAGTAAATATAATTTTAATACTGTAAAACTCGGTAATTTTAAAGAAGAAATATAATAGAGAATCAATAAAAATAATTTCACTTCAACAAAAATAATTTCAGTTCACCAAAAAAAAATTCAGTTCAGTAAAAATAATTACAGTTTAATGAAAAAATAATTTCAGTTCAACAAAAATAAGGTGAATTAAACAAGAACTTAGATTTTTTTTCAATATTCATACACTAACTATTACCATAGTTCTATAATAAATTATTAACAATGAATTGTATCAAGAAATATATTGTTAAATAGGTATTAATATAAAGCTTTAAAATATCAACTTTTTATTTTTTTACTATATTTAATTATACATCTATAAAGTCATATATTGACATGTGTGTCAAATTTGAATATGTTAATTATTCATAGATTTTACTCAAACTTCATTAAATATATTTAGACTAATAATAGGTTTAGAATTTAACACCTCTAAAACAATTACTTTTCCCTTTTACTTCCTACGGAGTAGATTTCAAAATACACGTATGGATTAAGTTCACTAACATCTCTAATGGCAAGCTAAATGTCAAATCAACTTATCATGTCACATTGGATTTTAAACTAATATTCTATGTAGTTGATGACCTTCTTGTCTCTTCACCTATCTCACCAATCACCATGGTTAGTGTAATCCCTTAAACTTATGGTAACACACTTTAACCAAGAATATACCCTACGTATTTTAGGAAAATGTGTAGAATGAATTAAATTTTAGCAGCAGCAATAATCTATTGATAATAAATACGTAGTACTTTAATCAGTAAGCACGTGTGAATAGTATAAACCTACTTGCCTTATTTAATGAATAAATGAAAAGACTATATAGAAGTATTAAAAAAAAAAAAAAAATTACTACGTAAAAAAAAAAGAGGGGCAAAAAACCTTTTGGAATAGGGAAAAAAATATACCCAAAATGCCAACAAATTGAAAATGAAGGCATTGTAAATATAATATAAGGAAAGGAATTGTTCTCTACAACCTCAATTTAACTATCACGTTACTAATTCAAATTATACTATAACCATGATTTTTAATTTTAAATTGAGGTATAATATGAATGTTCATGTCATTGATACAAATAATTAGTACCTGTTGTTACAGAGGAATTATTCTAAACTAGGTGGGGAAACGAAAGATAATGCTAGGCAAACATAAGCTTAGCCAATTCTCATAAGAAATGAGTAGACATAAAAAACTATCAGGCAAACATTAACTTGCTTCTACGGTTGAATTTAAGTTCTCCAACGCAGCTAATGTTTTGGATTGACAAGTTGACAACCCGCCAATGTAGTACTGTTGAGTTAATGGACTAAGGATTTTACCAGTTATCAGCCTCCCCATAACTTCAATCCGGAGTTTCCTGACTCACCATACACCTATAACATCAGCATATAATAAAATTGTTGTTTAATTCTTTGGATAGATTGAGTCAACCCATAAATAAGCAACCACAAAGTCCCCACAGATATTACTAAAGTCACCAGATCGATAAATAAAAATCTCTTTAAAGCTGTTGAATTTAAAGCTTATGTTCTTTCCACTGGAATTTATTTATTTGAACTTATAAAGCATTTATTTTGTTTCAATATCTAAACTAATTGGAATCTATAAAATCTTATGTTTTCAAACATTATACTCTAACAAATACTTTATACTTCCTCCGTTTTTAAATACTTTGCTCCATTTAATCTGGACATGTATACCGATACAAATTTTTGATCAATTATATCTTTAATTATTAATAAGTATAAATTCTAACAATTAAAAATTAATAATCTATTCATTGAGACGTTCTAACAAGTACCCACAAAAGCATATTTTTTCTTATGAATAAATCACAAACATTGGTCAAAGTAGGATGAATGAATAGTGCAAAAAGTAAAAATGGAGCAAGTATTTAAAATTGGGGAGAGTAGGGCCTTGTTTAATTCAACTTATTTTTACTTATTTCAGAAAAAATAAGTTCAGATAAAAAAAAATAAGTTCAGATAAAAAAAAATAAGTTCATTTCAAATCATCGTTTTATGTGCAATTTTTTATCGCTAAATATCTTTAATTTCGTAACTAAAAAATATTATGAAAATTACATATTAATAAAATACACATTATTACGAATCTAACAAGATCCCACTTGATATATTTTTTTCCTTACAGATTATCGTACACTTAAGGTTAAAATTTGGTCAAATCAGACAATAAGATCATATTAGACCAGACCAGACCAGATCAGATAAGATAAGTTCAGATAAGCAAAAATAAGATGAACTAAACAGAGCCTAAGATTTACAGGTATTACTTTCCATCAACACAAAAGATTTTTTTTCTATTGATGGTTAATGTACAGTTTCATAAACTTTTTCTAAAGAATTATTTAATTTAATTTGCCGAGTGTAATATTTTTAGAAATGAAAAAAAAAAAAAAAGTAAATAATGGCATGAAAATTGGGGAAAAGGTAACAAAAAAAAGGGTTTTTCTATGTAGTAACCTCGTTTTTTTCACTTTTCTATGTTGTGACCTAACATATATGACTTTCTACGTTGTAACCCTAAAGAACGAAAAGTCACTATATTGTGACCTCACCGTTAAACTGCCGTTAGTTGCTTCCGTTAAAATGAAAATATTAATTTTTTTTTTTTCATTTCCCCTTCCCCTTTCCCTTCTTCCCTCCATAACCACCAGAATCGCGACCACCCTCAATAGCTAGCCCCCTCCCGCCATTCACCGCTAACGTTTTGGGTTGCCAAATCCTCTCCCTCCTCTTTTTCGTTCGACCTGCTGCGTCGTGCCGCCATCGCCTCTGGCCAACCGTTCGACCTGCTGCGTGCCGCCATCTCCTCTCAGCCTTTCCTTCAACCTAAGCGCGCAACAACTCCTCCCCTTTCTGCTCACTAGGTCTGAAAACCTAATGTCGCCCCAGTTAGTTAATTCTAGTTGTGAATTGTTGATCTATTCTTGGGTATATGATAGTTTTGATGAAAATAGTTGCTGCAAATAAGCATTTGTTTGAGTTAATTAACATTCTAGCTTCAATTGGGTTAATCTTTGATGATGTTACATGTTAAATTGAGTGATATCACTAATATGTCGTTGCAACCATTGGTTGCTGAATTTCCACATTGATTTATTAAATTTTTAATTTGAAATTTTGAGAAGAGTTGCTTAGATTTGTACAAGTAATGGTCTTATTGGGGGTGGCCGGAATTTAAGAAGGAATGAGGTGAAGGGGGAGCGGTGAAAAAAGGTTGGCAGGGGAAGGGCGGCCGGACAGGGAAGTACGAGCGTGGAGGTGAACTGGCTGGAAATGGAGGGGCTGAATTCATGGAGAGGGGGCCGATGCCGGTGAGGGTAATGCTGATGCCGGTGGGGCTGCGTAGGTGGGGGAAAGGGAGGGGGGAGGGTGGCTGGCAGTGGGGTGGCTGGAAGGTGGCTGGACGGTGGTTGGGCCCCATTAACGGAAATAGTAACAGTTAACGGAAGCAACTAACGACAATTTAACGGCGATGTCACAATATAGTGACTTTTCATACTTTAAGATAGCGTAGAAAGTCATATATGTTAAATCACAGCGTAGAAAAGTGAAAAAAAAAAAACGAGGTTACTATGTAGAAAAACCCAAAAAAAAAAAAAAAAAAAAGAGAGTAATTTTTTAAGATAAAACATTAGATATAAACACAACATGTCAGGACACCAAAAAAAAAAAACCGAAGTAGAAAACACATGCACTACAATATAGAACCCTGTGAGTATATTTTTACGCACACTTGGATAAGCTCCCACATACCATACACGCTCATCATAGACATAGTGCTCTTACCATCTTACTTGCCACATTATTAAACCAATTATACATTATAAATTTAAAATTAAGGTTGTAAGCAACAAAGAATGGAAGAAAAAAAAAAATTATACACAAGAATTGTAATTAGTCATCAACAATCACTTAAAAATCAACTTTCACAAAACAAAACTGTAAAAGAGCATCATTTATGTGATTTGATGTGATTAAGTTTGATGTGTAGAATACAACTGTAGCATATAAGTTCTGCTGATAAGTCTTTTTTTATCAAACAAATTATTTCTTAATCAATGCCTCATCAATAGCAAGATGTAAATACTTATTCCTTGTATGAATTAGGTTCACTGCATACACACACACACAAAACAAACAACATTCAACTAAATGTCTTTCTTACCTAGAATCAATTCATCGCTTACAAATTACAATAAGTTCACTGCTCATCAATAAGTAGACATAATTCCACAATACAACTATAAAATTTTACAGCAGGACCAATATCAAATGAATTAGCTTTTTTCCACAGGAAATTGGTAAAAAGCACTACTAGTAGATTTGCTATAGGTACCATTAAATTTGGGTGAATAGTACTCCAATTTATTGTCACTATTCTATGACATTGAGAATAAATTGCTAGAACTGTAATTGCCAGGGTAATTTGTACTCCGTACTTTATTAATCTCGTTCTCACCTAATTAAGATTCAGTTAAAATTTAAAAATTTACGGCAACACCAACTTTTCCCTCCGCGAAGATAGAACAAGAGTACCAATAGTAGGTTTGCTATAGGTGCAATTAGATTTGGGTAAAAAAGGTACTCATGTTTGGGTAAAAACTAAAATGTACTCCAATATAATGTCATTATTCTATGACATCAAGAATGAATTGCCAGAAATGTTATCACCAGGGTAATCTGTCCTTTCTTAATCTCGTTCTCACCTAATTAAGATTCGGCTTAATGTCTCAATGCCAAACAATAAAAGAAGACCGTGAACGCAGTAAATGAACCTGCAACTTAAAATAAATACTCCTGGCACCTAGACACTAGGAGGAAAAACGTTCCTGCAAAATACATTATTTTGACTAAATTATCTGAGGGTCTTCCTCATGATCACTTAATACTAAAAATAGAGGAGCGAAAATTTTGAAAATTACACCCTTTGCCATTCATAGCGAAAAAATACTCCTATCTTATGACTTTTCCATACATAGCAAATAAATACTTCTATCTATGACAACTGTCAAGTTCAGATAGTATGAAATAAATAAATGACCTAAGCTCTGACCTAAGGAAATTACTAATGTGAGTTGTTTTCACAGTGGAGGTAAAGGAAGATAAAACCTTTGGTTTCCATTTTGAATAAGAGGACGGATATTATCAGAAGGTCGTTCATAAGGGAATTAAGTAAAAAAATCATCATAACTATCCTTCCTCAGTTAAATTCATCTCACTTTTCATCCTTCCATTTTTACCTCCTGTAATATCATACTCCAATCCCTACCAACAAGTTGCTGCCTACAAAAAAAAGTATATAATGCCTTAAATTTGGATCCTTCCTCTCCGCTAAGCTCAAGATAAAAATAAATAAATAAATAAAAACAAACTTAGCCAAGATTCTGAATCCTCCTAAGATTTTACAATCAGTCAGCCCCACATTTTTACCACATTCATACAAAAAACCTTGTAATCAACCACATTTAATACTCCGTATATGTGGAACCTAAAACTGACAAACCTTGACCCAAACACAAAACCAAGTAGGTCAAGCCTTTTTAACCCACTTAAGTTAACTATTTGATAATTAAGTCAGCTTAGTGTTGATATTTTAAACCCAAAACTAAAAAGGGTACACCTACTTAATTTAAAAATATAAAAAATTTCAACATATTAGCACAATATAGAGGTATGACTGTATGAGTTAGCATAATATAATTATTTCTTTAAAATTTTACTATACTAGCAAGGTAGGGGCTGGCCAAACATAGATAAAATGATACAAAACCAAGCAAAAGAAATTAATATATTGTTAAAAGTTCCTTGAATTCCAATCTTAAACAGCTAAATGTCTTAGTATCAAGGGTTTAAACTAGTTTGATAAAATGGGTCAGGCTAGTGTTACATGAAAATGAATTCGACACAACACAACCCATTTGCTAGCACGCACTTTCTAGTGGAAGATGAGGAGAGAGGACTAGAGTGTTGCTCCCCAAAGGTGCAAGAAAGCTGGTTGTACGGTACAGATGCTTAATTAGTGTGAGAAGGTACCAAATAGCAGAGCAGAGGTGTCTCATGTCTTAAGAAGCCATAGCACGCTTTCAAAAAAAAAAAAAAAAAAAAGAAGCCATAGCACAGGAGTGAGTAAATGTAAGTGCAGTATATTAAGTGTCTAGGTAGTAGCTGTCAAAAATAAATAAATATATAGGGGTAATACAGGAAATGCTCAGAGTCTAGGTCAAAAAAAAAAAAAAAAACTTTTACTTCAATTAAGACAACTCAAAAAAAAAATAAAAAAAATAAAAAAATAAAGAGAAGCCTATCATATCTATCTATACTTAGTATTCGAAATCACAAACTAAAGTTGACACATGTCCTCCTCCTCTTTCACCTTTCTTTATAATCATTCTCTTTCCTTATGTTTTCAAAAAAAATTCTCTTCATCTCCTCCTTTATTATTTCTCATTAACTCTTTATATTTTGTAATTCTTATTTAAATTCAATCACAAATTAAATTTCCTAAACCTTCTCCTCTTCTCCCTCCATTTTTCAATTCAATTTATTCACATTCATCATTCAATTCTTTGATTCTTTATCTTCCCTATCTTCTAATATAAATACAAATTTTCAATAAAGCTTTTTCACATCACTTAAGTTCCAAATAATAAAAAATTAGAGAAACATCGTTTAAAATTCTATGTAAAATTTCTACAACAATGAAGATGATTATTAAAAAGATTAATATTGAGTAAAGAAGAATTTTATACCTTCATATTTGATGTAAAAATGTAAATTTATAATAATGTTTGGTATTTAGTTTTTTATACAAATGGATGATTAACTATTATGTAAATAGAGATTTGATTTTATAATTTTAAACCATTTTTTCTACAATTATTACTACTAATTTATAAAATGTTATAACATGTTAAAAGACGATGAAATAAATTCATTCAACTAATTGATAATTTTTTAAATAAAACTAATAATTTAAGCACAACCCATGCGTAGAACGGGTCCAAAAGTTAGTTATCATTTCAAAACGAAGTGAAATATTCCCAGAATCGGCCCATAAGCTTCCACGTCAGATAGGGATAGCATGGTTTTTTAACATCATTCCGCTCTCTTAAAAAGTTTGTTCCCACTTCCAACACCCATGATTAGAACTTGGAACTACAATCACATGATTGAATTTCAAATCATTATCTTTGATGAAAGAGCACAGCAAGGCTACCAGAGTGCACAGCTAATAGGTTTCGCAACATGCATGTAAAATTTTGAAATTAATGATGGAGCCACATAAAAATAGAAGGCATCATGATTTCTAATCCTGTCTCCAAAAATGTAGTAATATTATTAGGGATATCAATGGGGCGGGGCGGATGTTGGTCTTCCTATCCCCATCCCCACCTAGCATTTTCATCCCATCCCCATCCCCATCCCCGCGACGGGTCCAAAATTCATCCTTATACCCACCCCGACAGGTACAATTCCAAAACCATCCCCGCCCTACCCCCTACTTGGATATCCACCCCTACCTAATCCCCACCAAAGACCCGCCTGATTCCCGCTCTCAAATACACAATCCAACATAATTAATACTTCCTCCGTTCTAGTAATATTGCAACAATTGGACTTTTGGACTATTTATCATGTTTGACCACAAATTATGATTTATACATAAAGTAAAATATAGTCCTGTGGGGTCTTGTTAAATTCGTCTCATAAAATACTTTCACAATATCAACTTTTTATAATTTTTACTCTTATATAATTACAGATATTTAACATATAAAATGTGCTTTGGGATGCGTAATTTCATCCTTGTTGCAATATTTGTGGAACAAAGAAAGTATAGATTACAATAAAAAAAAAAAAATAAAAAAAAACACCATTCTTAATATTTCACATTTTTTTGTTTATAATATAACTATATAAGTGTATCATAAAGTATTATAATTAATATTTTATTTAACATAATTATTTTTATAAAATAGTATAAATATATACTTCCTGCGTTCTAGTAATATTACATCAATTGGACTTTTGCACTATTCATCATGCTTGTTTGACCAAAAATTATGATTTATACGTAAAGTAAAATATAGTCATGTGGGGTCTTATTAGATCTGTCTCGCAAACTTTTACAATATCAATTTTTTATAATTTTTACTATTATATAATTATAAATATTTAACATATAAAATGTGCTTTGGGATGCATAATTTCATCCTTGTTGCAATATTTGTGGAACAGAGGAAGTATAATTTTGTTTTTAAAGATATATAGATGTGGGTATGAGGTTGGGATGGGGCGGGTACAACCTAAAATCCACCCCCGCCCCCCATCACCCATGGCGGGTATGGTTATTATCCCCATCCCCGCCCCACCACCCGCCAAACCGAGACTCATCCTACTTGACCCGCCCCATTGACATCCCTAAATATTATGATCTAAAGCTCTATAGGGGCAAATCCACACTGCACATCACAGTAATTCAAATTCTATGACCGAAGAAAATTAATTACCTCAAAAAGCAATTATCCCCAAGCAATTCAAAACTCATCCAGGTGGCTTCTAGAAATTAGGATAATTTTGGCATTGCAGCTTGTCCACTCTTTGAGACAGAAGATAATCTCCAACTGCAAGACAGAAATCACAACTGTAATAAGAGGAATAAAGGGGGGGGGGGTGATTTAAAGGTATACAGGTCAAAAGCAAATGCGATGCAACCAAACACAATCTAAAAAACACCATTAAGACTTACAAGGTTGAAAGATTGTGCAAAGCCCGGGATATTACGGAGTAATTCAAAATAAACAAGTATGAAGATAATCCTCAAGCAGCTTAAGAGAACTTATTTCAAAATAATGTTATCCAGAATGACATATCAAGCATTGGTTTGACTATGGTGAACAGAAGTGATTTTGGGACTCTATATTCTCTTCTCAAAAAAAGAATGCAATTTCATGACGAGTAGCATAGTTTTCTTAGGTCATGTTGTCACTTAAAAAGGTGTTGAAATGGATGGCAACAAAGTAGAGGACCCAACTGTTATTCAAATTTGGCCTACACCCTATTATATCCATAATATGTGGAGTTTTCAGAGAGTTAGCTTCTTTTTGCATAGATTTGACAGAATTTTAGTTTCTCCATAATTCCAATAATAAATGAGAGGAATTTTTTTTCAATGGATCCCATATATTTAGGGTCCAAATCAAAATCAAGACGAGGCTTCTTGTTTAAATATAACAGCATTAACATTCTTAAAAATTATTTGAGAAATATAGTAAGCTTCTCACTAGAAAACATTCGATAGGCATAACAAATGAACAAGCTCAAGCAATTAAGTGAGAGCACATCAACTGACAAAAGAATCGAAGCACCTATTACGAAACAAAACTCATTGAGGAAGTGCAGCATATAACAGATAGCACATAGCCCAATATAAACTTAGGGGCTTTACACTCCATCACTATCACCTATTCTTGATGGTATTTTGCTTACTTTGAGCATGTAATTTGTGCTAAAATTTGCCAAGAACACATAAGCTAAAGGACATAATGACAGTGATTGTTAATGGATTTCTACAATGGTTCATTAATATGACAACGTCCAAAGACTCCAAAACAGCTAAACACATCAAAAAGCTCCTTTCAAACCTATAAAGACTGTTCGTGGAAGACCAAAGACCAAATGTTGATCACATTTTTGGACAACTTCATGGAAAAAGATAGTGATTATATCACCAGAATTTACTTTCATATCAAAAATCACCCTTAAACACGTCAAGATTGGTACACTTTCTGCAAAATGAAGCTAGCCTAAGAATACTCCAAATATCATTCCGTTCATTCATACCTGTGAAAACATGTTGGTTTCAGTTCACTCATAGTTCCATCTACGGGACATCTTAGAGAGCTATTTAGTAAACAATATCTATGCAGTACAAAAATGAAGACTCTAACTATGACAAGGAGGGTAAGGAAGCTAAGTATAGAGAAAAAGCAAGCACAAAGTTAAACTCACAAAACAAGAGGGTGTGAGAGAAGCACAGAGTAACATAGATTGAGAGAATAGGAAGATTTGGAGGATATAACAAATCAGCAAGTGGAAGCTGGAAAGCAATTTGGGAAAAGAGAATTTAAACAAGGGTGTTTGATGATAGGAGGGTTAGATGATTTGAAGATTGGGGAGGTGTAACTGGCCTCTTCAGATTTTTCATAGTTATGATTGGTAAGGTTTTACTTTGCTTCATACTCTTTTAATCTCTCTTGAAGGGGCAAATTTTTTTAATGTTTATTCATACTTCATACGCATCACCTCAACCATGGACAACCTCATGTGCCCCTAACAAGCACCTTATTGAGATCACCTTGCCTGGGAATTTTCTGATGTTAACCTCTCAAGCCAAGCTCCCATGCAAGCTTTTTGAGAGATAGCCAAACCTTCAACGTTACAGATTTATAACCTTATATTACTGATAACAATGAGGCAAAGTTGAGAGCAAATATCACTAACAGGGATTAAATGTTGTGCTTGACCAAGATCCTATAAGAGTTTTAAAAAAACTACAAATGCCACCCCTTTAAAAGTTAGACGGAACAAAACAGCAGAACAAGGGAACTGCCCTTGTCATTAAAGAATTTATTAGCTTAATTAAGCATCATTAAGTTTTTAAATACTTCATTTTTTTGGAAAGTTCTAGCTTTTTATTGTCTTCTTAGTGCAGCAAAACCTATTTCAAGGACTTAGAAATAAAGATAAGAAATAACTTAATTAAGTAAATGTGCTGCAGAGGACTGGTTTTGCAAAATTTACTTGATAAGACATTAATTCAGGTTTCCTTATTAAGAATTAAGAAGGAAAAAAAAAAAAAAAAGTGTCCTCTTTGTAAAAGCTATAAATTGCTAAAATTTTTAGTTAGAAAATAGATTTAAATTAAAGAATATTGCAAAAGAGTGAAAGACCAAGATATATTTCCATTTTATAAGAGCTGGTGCTATAGCAGACTTACAATGTATTTGAATGAGAGGATTTAAAGAGAAAGGAATGGCAGGGAGAGTGATGGATTGATATGGATTGGGGGAAGAGAAGAGGAAGGAAATGAAGGCATCCAGGTCTCATTTCTCATTTAATATACCAAATTCTTCCAGACTTAAGGTTTGGTGAAAAAAAAAGTCTCCATCTCCCTCTACTATTGTTATCCATAAACATTGTTAGAGCATGTTAAGTAAGAGTGTTTTTTGGGTTGGAAACAGATTCAATCAAACCATTACCGTTACCAAGTGTTTGTTAGAAAATTTAGGTAACTGGGTAATGGTTTTCACCTATTTGTTACCTCTCTAAAACCTAAGGTAACAATACCCTTACCCTCCTCAAACAGAAAGAAAAGGAGTTAAGATCAAGTAATTCTTTTCCATGGCTAAACCAAACAAATTAAAAGGTAAGAGTTAAATGAATCTTTTCCTCCCTTTTATTTGCTTCCTTTCCACTCCATTGCTAATAATCATACCAAACACCCCCTTAATGTGATCAAAATCTAGTAAGAAGCCATCAAAGAAAGTACTTTTTTTTTTAACACATCAAAGAAAGTACTTATATTGTCATGAATTGCATTCACTCCTATGAAATTCTGATGATATCCAAGATTTCTCTAAGTGAGCTTACTTATTTAGTGAAACAAGCATATGATTACCTCTATAACTACGTTTATATCTATAACTACTAATACTCCATCAAGATTTAAAGAATCAAGTGAACCTTGTAGATCACTTAATTACATGAAACAAAAGAGAGGGTCAGAGGATGCATGGATGATATCTTCCATAAAAAATCAGAACCTTGCTAAAATGTTTATTTAAACTTATGAACAAGATGCTCAATTCTTTGCTGTCTCCCTACCCAATAATTTTAATTTTTTAAAAAACAAAAACATACTTATTAAATTAGAAAAACTGTAAGGAATTTAAAAAGAATCTATTGTTGTTTCTTTTACCCCAAAACACAAAATAAGTAGAGGTCAACTATATGATCTTATGTTCGTACTGCATAGAAAGTTAATATAAAATGTTTAACATAATTTTAACATTGTAGGAAAGACTGCAAGGATGTAATCTTGGCCCTGATGGCTCAAGATAAACGTGGAACTTCAAAGTGAGCCAATACAAATATATAAAGCTCCCAATCAGAAAAAAGCAGTAGTTTAAAGCAGCGATTATGCAAGGAAGCTTGAAAAGATTAATTTGTGTTTCAAATATATTGATTTACCATGTTTCACCATAAGAGTGACTGACACATAAATCCAACAACCACTTACTCATTCTACCATTCCACACTTCCAATTGCTAAATTTAACTAGATTTTAACACTGAAACTAGGAAAACCACCTTCAGATCAATCAAGTATGCAAGTTTGTTGCTATCACCAAGAACAAAAAATAACCAGCACAATTTCAGAGTAAATTTCAACTTATTTTGATCATATGCCAAAGAACATTTTATAAATCCTTATACCAAGGGAAATCATGTTAATTGTTATTTATTCTTCCAATATGTTCTATTTAAACTCCCAAATTGTCCGTAGCCACATTAGTTTTTAAAAAGACACCAACATTGTAAACTGTAATTAAATTAAATTTTAGCTCCCTTTGCAAACTAAGAAAACATCAATCAACACATAATTTAAATTTTATAGAATGAACATAGAATAATAATAACATAAGGACGACAAAGCACCCTAGGGAGAGATCACATAACACTTAAGAATAATAAGCTTTTAGCAGTAACAACTATAACATAATATAAACCCTATCTTACCAGTTTGTCCTGCTTTGGATTTCTAAATAACTTCAATAGAAGCCTTCTACGTATATTATTTGATCTAGTCCCATCAATAAACTGCAGCTTACACTCAATATCCCCTCATAAGCAAATGCGGCAACTAGTTTCTGCACATCAAAGAATGAATTTCAGGATACAATACTATATAGTATATCCTGACCAATGAACCCAGCTTCAAAATAATTTTGTCCTTACTGATGATTTCTAAGCATTATTGCGCCACAAACACGTCCAAAAGCGTCAAAATACAGGATTTACACACACTAATCCTCTACAACGGTCTTCAATTTCTCCTCTTCACCTAATTCAAGATTTTTTCAATCTTCTTCCACCATTTCACTCAATCTTACTATAAAGTTTTTCAATGAACAAACACACATAGCACAACGCAGCAATTAGCATCGCATCATGGAAGATAAATCCACCAACATTTCAACTAAAATGCTAAAAACAGCTCGAAATTGATTGATTTTCGCATATTTGTCTCATCATCTTAAACTGATCAAAAACATTGGATCATCAATCGAACTAATATTGCCTAAATTCAATAATCCAGTAAAAAATGATTTATAAACTGAAATTAAAATTAAAAACAATAAAACTTCATGTCGACAAGAATTTCCAGAAACTCGTAACACAATAAGCTCGAATTTCCTAATAATGCCGCAAATATCACAAAATTTCAAGCAAAACGCAACTGAATTACTCGCCAAAAGTTTGCAAACCTCCAATTAACCATAAAACTTAAGCCAAATCAATAAAATTAAAGGTAAAAACAAAGAAGCAAAACCGCGAAATCGAACCTGAGAATCAATTGTGTTAGGGCTACTATCGGCGAACAGTGGCGGAGGACTTCTCTTCAACCTTAAGAGGATGAAGCAATAGACGAATAAAAACCTAACGCCTCAATTGGTCTGGTATCCGCCATTGATGATTTGCCGGAAGTTTTGTGGAGACGAAGAAGAGAGAACAAAATTAAGACCTGCTTAATGCTTTAGCAAGTAGGGCGGTAAAGCTTAACGAACAATGCATCATGGAGTGAGTGTATGTAAGACCCGTAAATGAAACTTTTTTTTTTAAAACTGAAATTATTTTTGGCTTTTTTTTTTTTTTTTTTTTTTGGGAAAGGATTTTTGCTTATTTATAATACTGAAATTAATTTTACTAAATTGAAATTAATTTTGCTGAACTGAAATTATTTTTACAGATCTTTTATTATATATCTTCTTTTAAGTCTACTGATTTTTACTGAATTGAAATTAATTTTAGAATATCATCGTTTTAAGGTGAAGTGGAGAGGGCCTCATTGTGTAAAGTGTGTTTATGAGGGCATTCAAGTTATTTTTTTTTAATTATCTGACTTTTTGAGCAAGGTTTGATTTAGGGCCCGTTCACTTCATCTTAGTTTTGCTGAACTGAAATGAAATTATTTTTGCTAAACTTAAATTATTTTTATCGAATTGAAATTAATTTTACTGAACTGAAATTATTTTTGCTGAACTGAAATTATTTTTATAGATTTTCTATTATATTTCTTCTTTAAGTTTACTGATTTTTACTGAATTGAAATTATTTTTACTAAACTGAAATTATTTTTGCTGAACTGAAATTATTTTACTGAACTGAAATTAATTTTACTGAACTGAATTTTTTTTTTACTGAATATTTTTTTTTTAAGGTTAACTGAATAGGGTCTTAGTGCCAAAATTTACATTTTTTAGGATCATACTTCACTATGATACTTTAATTAAAGAATAAATGTTGCATAATAAAAGATGAATGACTAAATGTTGTATAATGTATAAACAAGAATAAATATTTGATATAAAATTATGAGTGTAATACACAGAAATTCAATTATTATAAAAAGTGATTACAATAATGACTATGTCAACTTTCTCAAGCCTACACAGCGTTGTTTATGTTGAATTTGATTCTTAAACTTGTGTGAAATGCAACTCATTCCCAAGCATAGGAGGACCTAATTCGAGATGGTGTTAATTATAGTTAGGCATGGATCGAGCAGGCATGAGGGTCAATTAGGCACGACATGAAAATGGCTTGACCAAGCATGAACTCTCCACATCCATGCAGCGACCCAAGCATAATGAGGACTTGTTGGCATAGCATTACATGACCTAACCTAACACATGATTCAGATTGTATGGGGCTTTTTTTTTAATCATTGAGATGAGTCCAATATGGCACAACTTTTTTTTTTTTTTTGGCATGTTTCAAGCACAATCCACTAGAAGACATGGACGTTTGCATATAATATGTGTATATACAACCCCACTAGTGCCCAACTTTAATGTTAACGGTTCAAAAAGAGTAAATTTTAAGATTTAAGAGTAGAATCAAAGCTTCCATCCCCAAATTTAAGCTCTCACCTTTTTTTTTCTGTTTTTTTTTTTTTTTAAAACCATTAATAACAGTGTATTATTTTGAGGTTCATCATTGATGTGTAATTATTTTAACAAGATATCAATTAGGAAACTACTCATAAAGATTACTTACTCATAAAAATGCTCAAATTTATTATTTAAGTTATTTCATTTTTAATAACCACACTTATCAATGCACAACTTTGATCACATCAATAATCAATCAATCATCAATCAATAACTATATACTAAAAGACACACCATCAACGACACGTGTCATCTCTTGGTGTGTCTTAAGTTTTTTTTTTTTCTTTTTTTTTTTGAATAAAATTCTAAGTATTAAAGAAACAAATCTTATACAAAAATAATTCCCTTATCTTATACAATATATAATTACTTAAAATAAAAAAGATTTGACATATCTTTAACACAAATATTTATAGCTATAAAAAAACACTCTTAACATAATTTGCAAAACCTTCTACTAAAAGAAAATATTCATATTTTTTTTTGCCTAATAATATATTTGTCTATATAGTTATTGATTAGAATCCATAATTCTATTATATTTAAATTTATATTCAAAACTACTAAAATAGTAAAATATATATTTTAGCTCCAAACATATGCATAACTATTAAAACAACAAACCACTATTTTGGAAAAATTTAACTATAGTAAAATATTATTATTAGGATAATTTGTAAATTACCACCCAAAAATAAGACCATTTTTGATATAACCACCCAAAACAAAATTATTTTTATTTAACCACCCCTTAAATTAATTAAACACACAGATTACCATCGTCTTATAGCTGTGGGTACCGTTTGGCGTCGTCTGGTTTCGAAGGTCGGTGCTGTTATGGTTGGCCAGTCTTTAGGATGTTACTTTGATGGTCTCCAATTTGGTGTTGGGGTTACTTCGGGAGGTGAGGCGATTCTTCATGCTATGAATCGGTTGATTGAGGATCGTGGTTCCGATGTTGGCCTTTCCATGTTATTGCTGGATTCAGTGGCGTCACCAGGATTTTCGAAGTGTGGGTTCGAAACTTCCGAAATTTGAAATCATAATTAACAAAGGAATAAAAATACAATAATTAAATATTCAGTACATAAATAAGTTCAAACTATGGATTACAAATAGATTACACATAGAAAAATGAAAAAAAAAAAGACTACAGAAGCATTCTTCGAGTCTTCATACTCCATAATTGGAATTCTTTTTCCAGGGTCATGTGGAAGAAGATCAACATCATAAATGCGAGTATCATCGGAGTCAACAGTAGTATTTGGAACACTTGGACCTGTGTTCTCAGGTGGTGGAATTGTTGCAGCAATAGGAACCTCATCATCATTAGGAGACACATGTTCTTCTATTGGAGGATCCCTTGAACTAGGTGAAGAACAAGTTGAAGACTTTTGTGACTTCCCGGCACGTTTCCAAAATGACTCTAAACTCATGGTATAATAGGTATATACTGCTAGTCTGCTACACACACATGATAAATGCAGAATGAAATCAATGAATGAATGATAAATCTAGAAAGCTAATTAAAACTATCGTAATTAAAGATTACAGTCAATTACTCAATTAGTAAACGAAATCTAGACGGCAGAAAACGAAATAACATATGAAATTATGAAAACTAGAAGGCAGAAAACGAAATACAGAAAATAGCATATGAAAATCAACAATGTAACAAAAAAAAATCCCCAAATTGAGAACTTGAGAAGTAAATTAGATAATTATAACCAAACTTCAGCAATTTACAAAAAATTGGCAATTCGTAATGTATATTAGCAATTTAGCATATGAATTTCAAGTATTCAATGATTTAGCAAAAAAAAAATCCCCAAATTGAGAAGTAAATTACATTTGCAAAAAAAAAATCCCCAAATTCACTTACCTACATACACCGATACACGGCTGTGAGGCTGTCAGTGCTGTGACGGACGACGGTGGGTCTGCTGGCCTGCTGGGTGAGTGGCTGGTGCGCTGCCGCTGCCACCGTGTTCTGGCGTTCTGCTGACTGCTGCCGTGTTGCGCCGGGAAGAGAAGGAGGAAGAACGGGAAGAGAAGGACTGAAGGAGGAAGAACGGGAAGAGATTAAGAGAAGGAGGAAGAAGTTAGGGTTTTGCAATTTGGGGGAATGAGGAAGAGGAAAGCTTGAAGCAGGGAAAGCTCAGGAAACAAAATTAAAAAAAAAAAGTGTGAGTTATGGGTTTTGAACCCACAAACTCTTGTGTGATGGGAGGTAAAAATAACCACTGGGCTACAACTTTACTTGTTGTCATATAATACACAAATATTCTATTTAAACCTATTTTGATTTTTTTTTTTTTAAAAAAAAGTTTTTAATTTTTTTTCAAAAAATCAGTGGGTTCAATGAACCCACTTGAACCCACCCTAGCTCCGCCACTGGCTGGATTTTCAAAATGCCTTCAATCTAGTTGATCGTGCGGCCATGTTACGTGAAGTTCATCATCGTTGTCCGGGCCTTTCGCGATGGGTTGAGTTATGCTACTCTATTCCAGCTAGATTATATTACGGGGACCACACCTTATGGTCGTCTCAGGGGGTGCAGCAGGGTGATCCCCTTGGTCCTCTTCTTTTTGCTTTGGTTTTACAACCCTTGGTGTGTAAAATCAGAGACACTTTTGATGTATGTTTTCAGGCTTGGTATTTGGATGACGGCACTGTTATTGGTGACACGTTGGTGGTGGGTAAGGATCTGCAGATGATTATGGATGAAGGGCCTTGTCTTGGGTTACATCTTAACGTGGTTTTCTGGCCTTTAGAAGACCCTCGAAGCAAGCTTGTGGGTGTCTTTTCACCTAATACTGCTCGACCCTTACGTGGTGTTAAGTTGCTTGGTGGTCCCACTAGTTCTGATTCCGGTTTTGGAGGTGAGCTTGTGCTGCAGAGGGTGACCAAGACCATTGCACTTATGGATAGGGTTGCTAAGCTTGATGATCCTCAGTGCGAGCTGTTGTTGCTTAGGGCTTGTACCGGAGTTTCTAAACTCTACTTTGCATTGCTTACTTGTCCTCCTAGTACTTTTGAGACGGCTCAGCACACATTCGATGGGGCTTTTTTATCTTCCTTAGAGCGTATTGTTACTACTTCAGGGCCTGGGTTTGGTGATTAGCAGTGGTGGCTTGCCACCTTGCCTTTTGCGTATGGAGGCCTTGGTGTTTATTCCGCAGGTGATGTCCGTCATTATGCTTTTCTTGCTTCACGATTACAGTATGCTTGGTTGCAGACGAGGCTTCTATGGCATGCTAGCGTTGTTGGCCTTGGTCGAGCCTTTGAGGATGCGTTGAGCTTGTTCAATAGAATGGTGGAGTCTAACATTTTGAGTAATCCTAGTGAGGTCGCTGCCCCTAAACTCATGAAGAAATTGACATATATATATATATTTCACAAAGGTTACCGCTTCTGCAGAATCCGCCTTTTCTTTGTCTCCTCGATAATCTGCATTGTGGAAATCGCATCAGGGAGGTCACACCTCTTCTTGGCTTCGGGCGGTCCCTCTTTCTAGGTTAGGTCAGACGATGAACGCAAAGACCTAATGATGTGTATTGTGCTACCGGCTGGGTGTTCCATTGTTCTCTATCTCAACGCCGTGCTCTGCTTGTTCTAGGGTTTTTACTGGGGATATTTTCGGTGATCACGCGG